GTGGACATGGCCGAAAGGTCATGGGTAAAAGAGCCTTAAATAAAAAAGAAATTGGTGAAAATCATCTCTACGGCGTTGCTTCCCAAATCCAAGTGAAAATCTACAAAGGACGCTTGGATCAATAAATAGGTTGATGTAGCACTCGCCTCAACAGGTGACTTTAGCTCACACTCAAAGAGGAAAATCCCTAGTGTCACAATACCAGGACCTCAAAAATACGAGCTTTAAGGAAAAATTCTAACAGCCCAAGTCCATTCGCAAAAAGGACTCGAAGGACAAAAAACTCGTCAAGAAGGCAAGATAAGTCTCATGAAGAAGAACACTATTCCCACAAGGTCACTAACACACTTCAAAGATGTTGAAGACGCCCCAAGAAAGACAAGTCAGCCATGACTTTGGACCTATTATGCAGCAATTAGGATTGAATCCTCAGCGGTCGTCTTAGACAAAGAAGAGAGGTATCTTGATTGTTGAAACTGCTAGCAGTGGGCATGGGTTATATCCAAAGCCGGTCACCTTGATAAACTGAGGTACCCTACCCGCTAAGGAATGTCTGGTGCGCAACGTAAACGGATGCCAACCAAAGGGCCTTCAGCAGACCATCCAGAACAAACAAAAACAAAATGCTAGAAACGTGGATCAACACCAGAGGATGCAAAAACCCAAACTAAATGGGAAAAAAGCCCTTCAACACGGTACTTGACTGCCAGATGAGTATGATTCTGACCAACGAGGTCCTTAAAAAATCCTCAGCTATCAGGATCACAACTAGTCCCTTGAGGGTGAGGACTTCGATAGGATCCCTCAAAAAGGTCTCTTCTCCCCCTAAAGTCTCCACGGATGGACCTGTACATTGCATCCAAACGTTTGAGCATCCTAGTTACAGAATTGTGTGAATCTCCTCGACGTTCACGTGGTCTTGTGGCTAGGAAGAAAAAAGTAATAAAGTCAAAAGAAATTTTTGAATGTTGTCCTTCTCACTTCTCTCGAAGCACAACATTCGGCGGGGCAAGCAGTTTGAACACATTTTTCGCCACCTTGAGTCCCCAATGCAAAATAAAAGAGAGGCCGATTAATAAAGCCTCGAAATATAATGAAATTCCCGACAGTCTCAGAATTTCCTCATAACGATCAGAATCTTCCTAAGGACTTCAAAAGGCCACCTACCAAGTTTCATCATAATCCAACATGTCTAAGGTAGCGCAGACAAAGAAACAATTTCAAAAAAATCAACCTCTATCACCTTGAAACGGACCCCATAACTAGAACTTTATTTTCGATGTATCAAATAGCTGTGCGACCACAGCCATTAAATCTGGCACGGTCGAAAACCCCTATGGGTCAAGTTTCGGTTTAATCGGGGGGCTCCAAGACAAAGTTATGGGTGAAACATTAAAATGGGGTAGACCGCACGCTATTCCCATGCGGCCTCCCTGCACCAATCTCCAATCTCTATTAAAGGAGGCTGGTGTGTATAGTCCCGAGCAGCAACTTTAAAGACCCGTATCTCACTCGTTTCGAGTCGGATCCCGCTCAAATTTGGTGGGCGTGTTCGTCTTGTCAAAACGAACATTTTGATATGTGGCACGACCTGTGACGATACCCGAACAGGGAGAAAAACTAGAGAGAGATTGACGATTCGTGGAAATAGTTGTAGAAAATTCAACAACGGCATGCTCGCATACCCGATTGACGTGAAACTAATTGCATTATGTACATAAGGTCCGAGGCTATCTCTGGTCCGAACCCCGCTTACGATGAACAGTTGGATTCAGCAAATGAAGGCATCAAATTTGTTGAAGATTCCGACAGCCGGATTTCAAGATTTCGGCAAAAAACCCAAGACAACATAATATTTGTCTTGACATGAAATTGAACTGTGTTTGTTGCAACGTGATCGTGACTACATGCTCAGTGCAATTCAGCAAAAAAATCAAAGAAAAACATCAAGAAACAAGCACACTATCGATCAGAAGTTTTCAAGATCTATACAAATTTTGAGTTGCATGATCGTGCCCTAAAAACGAGATCCATGCTTCAAAGTTGGTATCAAATCGATCGTCATGCTGAGCCCGACAAGAAAGGAATCATATTTAGGCCAAACATATACTGGAGCAACCACGAATCATCAATGGAAGATCACGCAAGTTCTAAGGCAGTAGCATGGACTGTTTTGAAATTTCTTCTATTGTCGAGCAAGGGCAAAACAGTCCTTTTGCATCCATTTTTAGAATTTATTTTAATTCAATTAAATTGTAATTATCATCAATTAGGATAGTTTTGAGAGTTTTCACGTTCAAATTGTGGGCACGTCTTGGAGAGAGAGAGAGGAGAGAGAAGAAAAGGTCTAGTACCCTTTAGTGAGGGTAATTTTCTCTCTCCTCCTCTCATCTCTCTCTTTCTCTCTCCTCCTCTCATCTCTCTCTTCTCATATATCTCTCTCTCTCTTCATCTGTATCTTGCTTTTTCTCTCTCTTCTCGTTTATATCTCTCTTTCCTTTTTCTTCTCTGATCTTCTTTATTCACTTTCTTTCTCTCTCTTTTATCTTTCTTTTCTTTTTCTTCACTTTCCTTCTCTCACTCTATTTTTCTCTCTTTCTTCTCTTATCATGCATGGCAGAGCCTATCGCCGAGTGTGATTGTACATACCTATGTGCATTCGCCCAAAAACAAGGAGTGGTCACTTGACCTAATTATCTTGTAAATTAACCATGTGTGTGTGATTGTAGAAACAGGAAAGTACAAGTCAAGGGAGGCGATTACGAACCAATTTTACAACTGGGGAGTTTTCTTTGTGATCTAAGAGGGCGCCCACTCGAGCCAACCCAAGTAAGTCCCGAACCCACCTTAAATTCCTCTCTCATCGATTGGTATACCTGCCCTTGCTACTGAGCAAGGTTTCGAGAGAGCGATCTCAAAGACTCAGGTTCTCCCGAAACCCGAGACACGTGCCGCCAAATCATCCAGATCCGAAGGGTGAGATCGAGGCACCTAACCAGACACATGCAGAGCAATCTTGTGGAGGTTCAACACTAATGTTGTAACTAATTTTATAACTGATTCAATTATCCCTAATCTTCTACGCTCAAATTATAACCGATTGAATTTTATTTCACACATTTGTGGAGGAAATCGTATACGCTAAAATTATTTAGTTTCGAAAATGCACAATGCTAATAACAAAGGAATACTAAATCATTCACGATGTAAGTAAATTGTTCACCATTCAAACCACAAAAAATTCACACTTACTCCTTCAGCTTTCACTATTCAAACCACTCAAGAATATCTGATGCATGAGCATTATAAAACTCAACGGTATACCAAATCATTCACAATACATTGTTCAAACCATAAAGCCAACAACATTCAAACCACTTAAGAATATTTGATGCTTGAGAGAGAGAGAGAGAGAGAGAGAGAGAGAGAGAGAGAGAGAGAGAGAGAGAGAGAGAGAGAGAGAGAAANAACATATATATATATATATATATATATATATATATATATATATATATATATATATATATATATATATATATATATATATATAACTATACTA